ATGGAGAAACAGAAATGGTAGCAAAGCTCCATGTCGTGTTTTATCCAATATGGACCGACAACGTTTGCCGCAAAACGAAGGTGTAGAATAATTGCGATATATTAGTAAAGGGTTTCGGGTAACCGAGTGTTCCAATTTTCGTGGCATCATACTACTCCCGACTCTCTGAAAACCTTTATTCGGGATTATCCTTGAGAGGCTCAGGCAGGCAACTGATGGGAAACTTCTCCCAAATCAAGCAGAAATCCTACTACTTCCTCTCTGCCTAGGATCACTGAACAGTGGCCACGAATCCAGTTGCCTTGATTTGCCAGTTTTCTCGACTTTACGGCTGCATTTGGTTCACATCATACGACGATGTGGGAAATCTTGAAATGCAGGAATACCTCAGCCCACTGACTGTATCTGGATAAGACGCTTGCAGGAAGAATGTCCGCTGTCAAGGCTGAAGGAGAGTTACCTCAATGTTTCCAGTTAACCGTGGAGTTTGCCAAGGAGATGCGCTTTCGCTTTTACTATTCAACACTGCTCTCAACTTTCTTTCTCTGAAACAGTGCTGACCCTGGCAAAAACGAAGATCTCATTCAAGAGCGGGAAAGCGCAATTTAAGATATCTAGCTGGACATTTTACTGATCTATAATATGTAGATGATACTGTCCTGATAAGTAGTATGGGAAGCGGGCCCAATCATCCAAGGATTCTGCATGCAATGCAGCTACGAACGCCGGCTTCTTCCTTAACCCCCGATAGTGAAATATTATGAGGAACTCATCCGGTATAACTTATTTAAAAGTAGAACACAGAAGTGAAGATCTTCACGAGGTTCACCAGTTTAAGTACTTTGGCATGATCAACTGCAGCGATTGGCACTATCCAGCGAAAGTTAAATAAGAGGATGGTCCTAGCATCGAGTGATTCTACAAATCTGTGCAGTATTTTAGCTTCAATCAATTATTCTTCCAACGAAACTTTACCTGTACCTTAACTATGTCTGATCAGTGTTGTTGTACGACACTGTAAAACAGTTGTTCTAACGAAGGAGCAGAAATGATGGTTAAACTGCGTACAGCAGTGTTGGCTTACTTCGACGTTTAATGTTTAACGGTGGACTAATACGTCATGAATAGAATGACTGTATGCTTTTTCGGGCACAGGTGACCTAGGTAGATATTGAGATTAAGAAAACGAGGTTGACTCTGCTAGACAAACTGGTTGAGCATACAGCATTTACTCCAGTCTGCGGGCTTCTCGTGCGAGAGGTGAAATGTATCACCCCGTCGACCAGAAGGTTAACGTTATATATGGCGGAACAAAGTAAGGGCCGCTGAGCCTTCGAAGAAATTGTTTTCTTCTGCGACACAGCAACCAATACGTCATAGGAAAAATGTTGAAAATCCATGAACAGCAAACATCACAAAACAGAGAGGCTCTACTTATGCAAATGGTTCAAGGTGATTTCGTCAACAAAAACAATGACACAACATGCGAAGAAGTGAGCAAAAAGAAACATTTTTTCTGTTGCTAAAAAAATCGCATACTGCGGAATTTAAATAAACTGGTACGAAAAGTCCAGAAAAATGCACTAATTCAGATTCAGTCATTGAAACGTACGCTGAAAGAAGTACAGAGCAGCTGCCGACGAACTTTGTGATAACTTTGACCAACAACACCTGCTCAAGCAAAGCCAGTTACGCACAGATATTTCAGGTGAGCGCGTGTTTCCGCCGCAGGCAAACAAAGCAAGTGATCATCGACAGAAAAATCAATCAAGAATCTTCCTGCTTACTAATGGTACGATATGTATAACAAAATAATAAACATAAATCAGTAAAATCAACACAATTATTTTTTTAAAATATGTACTAAAGTACACAGAGAAGTGATGAACTTAAGAAAGATATGATGGGTCAAAGGGCAAATCGCCACGTGGCGACTGCAATACAGGAAGAAACGATAGCGGTGGACAAGAATGTCATGTAGTCAAATTTTAAGAAACATGAAGAAGGGGTCAAGATGCTTGTTCATCTAACAGTATATACGACTGCTAAATTTTTTCCGTTCTATGCTCTCTGAGTTCATCGTTAGTCAAGTAATCGCATTTCACCATCGAGAGGTGCCAGTCTCTATTAGGTATCATGTTCGAGGTAAAAAACTGAGTATATGACTGGTGGACGACAATCGAGCAGTGTACGTTTTTGCACCATATTGAAATTTTTTAAAAATACTGAAAACCATTAAAGGGAAAAAAATATAAGACTCGTACCTCACTGTGCACATCAAACGCGCCCAACGGACTTCCGGTGTAGTACTTTTGTTTCATATCGTCAAGAGGAACTGCTGGTGTAGTATCGACGAAAGAACGGCTGCAATCGTCGCCATCCGTTTGAGTATGGTTGACCACAAGCGGTAGGGGATAGTGAGCTGCTTGGAGGCGTGGTGCCACCACCGAACCATGATCGCCGTTCATCTCCTCATTAGTCATTGTCATTGTCATCATCATCATCGTCGACAAATCGTCACTAGTTTCCTCATTGCCGGTGGCCGTTGCCCCTACCGCTACCGCCGCTGCCGCCGAATCTCGGTCATGCTGTTCGACCTCGGCCGACCAGGAAAAGTCTGTTGCGGCCACCGCCGATGCTGCGTACAAAAACTCTTCGTCGTCGTCGCCGCCACCACCGCCGCCGCTCTGATCAGCGACTGTCCGTCGACGACCGTCCACGTCGAAATTCGATGACCACCGACTGGAGGCCGCGCAGTCGGACAAGAGTCCAGCAGAGGCAGAAACGGAGTCAGAAGCAGACGCAAAGGCAGAAGACGCGAAACCGGCGGAAACGGCCGGCGACTGAGTCATTGTTACTTTTGCGGTGGCGGTGGCCTGAGGCCGAGACTGAGACTGACACCGGGTTCGGGTCTCAATGGTAGGAGTCGAATCTGCAACGTCGACGGCAGACAGGCAGCCCTTCCGATTGCCCTTCCTGTAGTTTTGACGACCACCTCGTTTCACCGGCATTTCTGTGTCAGATTCGTTCACTTCTGAATCGCAATTCTCCTCCTCGCTGGTCTCTTCTGCTTTCGCTTGTTTGCAAATGTCGCTTATAAGGCTGTCGTCCGGCGATCGCTTGCAAAGCTGCCGACAAATCTTTCGATAATAGTAAAGAAAAGCACAAAACGATGCACAAACGGCGATGCCACCAAATAAAGCAGCTTTTTTTGCTGTACCATCAACACCTGACATAATACAATACGGCAACTCTGAGCAGGGCTACGGAAATCTCATGCGAAAGCCCTGCGTGAACCGATTTCTGACAAAAGCGTTGGATCCAATCAGTTGTAATCTTAAATTAAAAGCATTTTATGAAACGCAATCGAAGTCGGCAAAATTTCAAACGGAAACGTGCAATTTTCTTACATAACAAACCAGCAAGCCTATCGCTTACAAACACCACCGCTAAATTATTACCTACAGTATGAAAAGTCTACTGCAGTATTGCTTACCTAGAAATCAAATAAATTCTAAAGGGATTAAAAATCGAGGCAGAATACTTATCACAAATTAGGTATCTAATTAGCAAAGCTGAAGCTGAACGCTTCATAAAAAAATTTATTAATGCTTCTTAAACAAAAAAATAACTAGTTGAGCATTGTCTTCAAATTCAAACAGAGCATTCATAATCAGTTTTGCAAGAACCACTATAGAATTGCTGAACTTCCGGTCTGAACGAAAAAATTTTCCTACTTTAGTGGTATTTATTTTAGGGAGCAAATTAAATTAATGAACTTGTACGTCATTAATTTACGCAGAACGGCTCCATTATTCAGTCATCTTGCTCAGCCAATAAACATTCGAGTACAAGCTAAATATGGATATCATATTCTTTTCTCATTCTACGCAAAATTACTATCCACAGTAGTTCTTAGCTTCCAAAATAATCTATAGAATTAAAATTTGTGCAACCCGCAAATACTAGAAAACTAATTTACACAGCTGTAGATGTGCGTCAAAAGATGTTGCAAGAGGATCTAGGTACTGGTATTTTGCATTAAAATTTCCAAACATTGTTTATTTATCTATAGCACGTGCTATAGCCTAATATTTATAACAGTTCGGCTCGGATTCATGGAGTGCACAATCACAGCTAAATCAGCAGTAAGATGTGCAACGATTTTGTATCTCAAGGTGACCCACCAAAAGTGGAAAGTCAAACCTAGTTGCCTAACCACGATCTTTACTTTGGTGCCGGTGCTGCGGTTGTTTCTTGATACACACTTCAACGATTTGGATTTTAGTGCAGCGTAGAAAGAATCTGATAATGCTTTTCTTAGTAGAAACGTGAATTCAAATAACATGCATTTATCCAAAATGTAACTACGTAACAGGTGAAGCCATGCTAGGTTGTTTCTTAAGTTTCTTTCTATCTGTTAGTTTGTTCTTGGTTTGCTACACCTTGACTGCTTCCAAAATCGTTTCCTGTTTGCCATTAGCTTCCGTGCGGACGATATTGCTTACATCTCATTTTTAGTACGCTGCGTTCAGTCATTGCAGACCTTTTCTCATCTGTTCTGTCTAAGCAGGCCATGTATTCACTGACAGATTGATTATTCAGTTTTCCATAAATTTTTCCAAATGTACTTTCGCCGCATGAGCAGCTTGTCTGGTATATCATTCCGGCGTTCTCTTGTTTTGATATCATATCTTTCTTATTCAGGAAACTGCGAAGCTTGTTTGAGAATCTGTCACGAAACATTTTATTCTTTCATTTAACTTGTTTTATTATAAGATGAAAAGGAGGAAGAAACTTTGAGACTCTTCTCGGCTTGTTGCCTTTTCTTATGAAATTCGGACACACTTCAGCTTTTATTCCACTTCATTGAGCTGTTTGTAGTTGAAAGTCTTCTGATACCGGTTGTTTCTTCCATTCTACGATGAGACTGCTGTTCTGTGTTGGAGTAAAAGGTTACCTCGGTCTACTATATGATTCATCGGTCTATAGTTTGAACCAGTCCCTCTTTTAGTTATGTTAGCGTGTAAAAATAGCCGTTATTATAACATCGCATGTGGATGGATCTCTTACATACATTAGGTTTTGTGTTACGTGCCTTCTGTACACCAGCACATTTGTGAATAAAAACTTGTTCCCGATCTCTAGTTCTTGGGTGCAGTAAATATTTTAGTAGGTGGAATTTAAATGTTCACGATATATGTTCAGTTGTGTTTTCCCATGTGGTCACAAGACAGGTATCGTTTACGTACTTGCATCACGTCAGTGGACTCAGTTCCGCTGCCTCCAGTGCAACTTATTTTAATTGCTCCATGTAAATCTCCGCCACGATGGAAGATATTGGTGACCACATTTCGCAGCCATTCTGTCTCTTCCGATTGAGTCCTCTGACGTGGTACGGGTTTATGGACGATACCCGTTTCTGTGACCACATGAAGAATTCGTGTTTCATTGAACGTATTTCGTCAGCAACTAAACTCCATCCACGAAAACATTCAGTTTACCCACGACTTGGAGGAGGTGACAAGCTTCCGTTCCGAAATGTACTTGTATGCAGAATGAACGGAACACTAAACAGCAATTCATTCGGTTCTTCATTATTGTTCAAGTTTTAGAAGGTAGGGTTGAGAGTTCGTGCAGCTTGAACATATTCTAACGAATGCAAAGGCAGCGCCGTTGTTATTCCTTAATTATGCAAAAATCACCTCATTTTCACTTAGAACGGATAAAGTTGGAAAAAAGGACAGTGTTCTAAATTTTCAGATTCAAAACCCAGTTGAAGTTTTAGCTAGTTTTACAGACCTAGAGTTGGTGCCGCTTGCCTATCTCCTGGAAAGAGTCGCAGGTTACTGGACATGTTTCAGTTCTTCTCCCCTTTGAGTTCAGGAATCAACGCTGACATGGTGGGGTGGCTGAAAACTTTTTAATTTTAAATAAATAGTTTGCATTTTGTACTCCAAATAGTACGCAAAATACTCGTTAAAATGAGAAATTTAATGGGGTTACTGAAGTGAGGCTAATAATTGAAATATCTGGTTATCTTAAGCAAAGAATTCACCCCTCTCTATTTTGGTAAACCATCTGAAAACAGCTAGCAGGTCGCGACGTGAAAAATAGGGAGAGCATGGGCTTGAATGGGGTCATACCAAAGCCTGCCAGACATACAGTCATGTTGTCTCATGCGTACGCTTTACAGATATAGTTCGTTTTGACCCACCTAATGGCTGACTAAAAGCCAGTAATGTGAGAACGGAGGTTTAAATTTAAAATGTAAGTTTTAATGCGATATATTCCACGGTTGTATCGAAAACTCCCCCAGAACATTGAGGTCATATTATATCACTCGTTCACTTAGGACGAAAATCTTATTTCCTTAAACATATCTTTGTTCAACCCATGTTTGAGACACTGTTCTGTGTCCTATGTACTGAAGGCGTTTAAATACCATGGAACCATGGCCTGCTTAAATGGTCGCACTAGGCGACTAGAAGTAGGCTAGCGGTGCGATAGTGCTGCTAGTGTAAAATGTGAAATAGATTTTTCATTTTCTGCACTGTGAATTTTCTTCGTATCAAGCCGGATATCATTATTTTTAATGCAAAAAGGATGCACATTAAAATTTTTCGTACATTCAAGCAAAGAAATTTATTTCATGATGGAAATTGCTTACCAACCCTTTAACGAAGGTCGTGAATGTGCCTCAGCCAAAACGTAAAGTAAAGATCACTAATTTCTCCCTAACCAATTTGTCTATTAAATCTTACATTTTTGATTAAAAAGTTTCGTCGCTTTCTGGCGCGTGATTTATTATCTCGTAGAATTTCCGTAGTCGCTGTTATGAAGTTGAAGAGAAACACGAGTATTCATTGTGTGACTGTCGAAATATTTCATAATGCTATAATACCTGTTTTTTTCAGCAGGAATAAATGGCTGTGCAACTTCGCATACTGCATGTGGACACACTGTTGTTGTTGCTGTTGCAGTAACTGAACTCGGATATAGATAGCAGACATAGAATACGGCAGCATTCTGACGCATTTCGTGACGCACTCACATTTAATGCTTAGCAATCTGGCGACCTTTCTCATTAATTATTATGGATTAGTTGTTAGTTATTATTGCATTTTTCAATATATCTGTTCATTTTCTACCTGATGATGACGCAATAGCAGTCTGGACAATTAGGTTTAGGCTCTAATGTCACTTAATGAGTATCAGAGCTCAGCCTGACATCTGTTGCGAATTCCAGCTTGAGGACTTTTCTTTTACGAACGTCGATGCTGCATAACTGAGTAACTTTTTCTAAATGTAAGAGCATTGTCACGGCAATGCGTACATAGAGAAATATTCGTTTGGGATCGATTTCTAAACAGTAACTCATAAGTCTAGAGAGAAAATTTTGCTGAATTTCTCTACCTTGAAAATTGTCCAGTAGTTACAACCGTTGCTTCCGTTTTCACAAGTTAAAGAAATATCTACTTCCTTGCGTCAGAAAATTTGAGGGTTGACCTCATGGAATATTTAAAAACGCTGACTTCGTTCGACAGACGTGTGAATAACTTAGCAGAAGTAGCAGTCACAACCACAATGAACCGTAATTGCATCGCCATCTAAAGACTTTCAGAGTTTGCATGGCAGAGATATTTGAAAAATTAATTATTCTTTACCTCGTTGAAATCAGAATCATATTTGGCATCTGCTAATTGCATGGAAGAAAGGATTCATCATCGCTGGAAATCTACCTCTGTCAAATAATTATGTTCCTTATGTGACCTCCAACGCTTCGACAGTCACCGGATCCAAATTATGGATATCGCCTCTCCAGCGGAAAGGAAGAAAGATGGAGAGACCTTCTTTAGACGAACCTGTGGTCACTTAGGAGTATCTCCTTCAAGGGTTCAATAGTACATGCTTAAATCACGCTTTCGCCTTCCTTCCTGCAGACATCATTAGACTAAGAATCAGGGTCATATCATGGAACTTAATTGACGATGACATATACACACATGATCAGTGGATGTGGCTCAACAAGAAATATTTTTGAAACAGATTTTGATTCGGTTTCTAGGAACATGTCCACCCAGACAACAGACGAATCTTTGAACCACTTAGAAAGTCTTTCTCGAATTACAAGCGGGTCGTCATGAAATACGTTTGATTAGTTTTCAAAATATTTTCATGAATAGTCACAGAGTTCCTTCGTCTGTGCATATGATGTCGCGAATATCAAAACATT